ACTTTCAGAGAACAAGCAGCAACTCAGACATTAAACTCAGGAATCAGGCATTTACTGATCCTCTGCCTAACTTTTCCCCAACTTCCTTAGATAAATAGCATACTTTTCCATTCTAATCCAATAGGAAGTAGCAATAACAAATAACAATCAAAACATCGAATTAGCGACACCAACCTTGTTCTCTTGGTGAAGGAGTTGATAATGCTGCCAATATGTTAGGATTAATTATTCCCGCATGCTTAGGTTGTGCAATAACATCTGCAATAACTTCTTGTCGCACAATTTTCTTTTGTTCCTCCATTTGTTTCTCCATTTTCTGCATCCTCTCTTGCATTTGCTGCATTCCATCAGTTGTTGCACTTAAAGTTGATTCCGAATTGCCAACTTTTTTTTCAAAGTAGTGTTTGTAACTCCTGTGCCATATAGTCTTAGAAGTCCCGGATGTTCAGGACCCATGACGCTTGAAAATGCATCAACATACTCACCATTTATGCTTATTTGTTTTTCAATTTCCTCAATTTCAGCCTACCAAAGCATATCCAACAAACACAATCTTATGAAATAAATAATTGATCACAATAAAAAAAATGAAAATAGACAGGACACATACAATTTTACTAGTAGTATCTTCATTTGAGGCCTTGTACAAACGGCCAGGTTTTCTTGTTCTTGTAACCACAAAGAGATACTTAGATGATATTGTCCCCTTATCTTTCTCCGAGTCAAATTGAAATATGTATAAAAAATAAACTCACACTGGAAGAGATCCAAAAGAAAATTTCATGAGCAGTGGATTAGAAACATTACATAAGGAAAGTGTACCCATTAATAAAAAGCCCCAAAATTTGATTAAAAAATAATACATAAGAGAACTCACCAGCTTATTATGAACTAAAGCGAAACTCTTTTTGCCAGCAGTGTGTGGATTCATCAATTTTTTTGGATTCTTTTCATTTGTTTCAGACATTTTCTGCAAAGAAATGAATCAGTAATGTTAATCTAAGGTATATTAGTGTTATATAGTGTACTAGACGAGGTCAATATTAGTCTATCTTTCCTTTATAACAGTCTATCTTTCCTTTATAACAATCTGTCAATATCAGTCATTATATAGTGTTAAGGTGTCTTGTAAAATGCCTGGGACTATCACAATAAATGAAGAAAGAAGCTGCAAAATATTACAATAGAGAAGAGATAAAAAGAAAAAATAAAGCAGAATCTATACTATTATCACACTATTTTAGACACTAAAGTACCAGCCAAGCCTCAGCTAAGCAGAATCAATACTATTATGTCAGCAACACCGATATCACACTATGGACAATTATGTCATTGCAGTCAGTGTTGGCACTTTATCCATATGCTTTAGTATCTATACTATTCAGATGGTTACTATATGTTTTGATTTAATTTTGTAGCACCCATAGATGAGGTTATGCAGACTGGTCCATATACAAACCATAATAAAGCTAGAGGTATGAATTACAAACAGAGATGAATCATACTTCATATGATAGAGTGTTGACATTTCTCAACCTTTAGTGGAGATAGTTACACTTGTTGCTCCTTATGGGTCTTTCTAGTAAGGTCTTAACTTCAAATACAGGCCAAATATTGCTCTAATTTCTTAATGTTTGGGCGTGATAATGATCCATCTGTTGATTAAAAAGGCACCTACGAGAAAGAAGATCCAGGAGGAAGCATAGGAATATCCAAACATAGCAAGCCAGATCAACTATATCAGATGAAATATCAAAACATGCTAGACACAGAGATGCTACTGGAAACAGAGGTACTATTTTGTCTAACAGCTTTGAAGTGTTGAGGGTCACTAGGTGGGAAGAAGCTGGGAAGGGCGCAAAAATCAGGAGCTCTAATACAAATGCTACTTATCAAAAAAATTGAGATTTTGAACTACATTTTTACCTTGAATTTTTCTGAATTCCAATATCTGATGAGCTCTCTAAATTGACATTCTGGAATATGACAAGGTTTTTTTGCCATTCGAACTGCATCATTGTCATATGGATCGTAATAATTAAGCTTCAAATCACTTCTATGTCTTCTCCAAGCATCTCAAATTGTTACCATAGCCCAATGGTACGCATCTTCAGGAATAGTATATTTCTCCTATAATTTTGTGTCATTCAATTATCCAATAAAAGTAAAATACTTTTACAAATAATTAATTGTTTTAAACTACAAGCCTTGGCATAATCCTATAAATCCTTTTTAGTGTCCATGCTCCTCGAATCCAATATATCAAATGGGCAAAGAGTCGAATTTCTAGCCAATGTTCCTCGGAAGCTACTTAGCTCTATGAAAACATCATCAGTAGGACCAGCAAGTTGATTTTGACTATTCAGTATGATCAACTTGCATTCTTTTCGGGCATGAACACCATGCATTTGCGTTCTACCTCTTTTATTTAGACTGAAAACAGCTTCAGCTATAGGAAAATACAAGAAATATAATTAAAAATTATCACATTTAATAGGTCTGTAATCTTATATGTTACCTTGTTCTTTTGGTTGATCATTTGTTCGAGGAGTGACATAATTCATTCGCACTTGATCCTCGAAAGGAAAATCTTTGCCATGTTGCTCAAGAGGCAGCTCCTCGACAGGCTGCACAAGAGGAAGCTTCTCGACAGGCTGCACAAGAGGCAGCTCCTCGACAGGCTGCACAAGAGGCAGCTCCTCGACAGGCTGATTTTCAAAAGACAACTCCTCGACAGATTGTCTTTTTGCTTCATATTGTGGTTCTAATAATTGTTGTTCTCCAATTAATTTGAGCAGATGTCCTTTCTCGCACTCTATTTCTTTAATAATTTCATTTGTTGTCAATGACCGCCGTTTCTTATTTGCCAAGAATGATAGCGATCCCGGTTTAGCAAATGTCTTCTTTTTGCCTTTTTTGGTTCTTTTTGAAGTTTCTTGTTGACTCATAGCTATGACTATTCAAACCTGTGTGAAAATAGAATTAAAAAGTTAAAATGTATGGTAGTGTACACCTGCAATACTTAAACAAATCAATCACCAAGGTATTACAAAGAGCTAAAAATAAAATGTACCCTTAGGGACATTCTAATAATATTTTTTGCACTCAATCACATTCAGTAGATCTGTAACTGTCCACAATCATACACAAGATTTAGAGTGTTTTTAGGAAGCCGATTAGTGGAATTATAAGATAAATTTACTTGATTGATTAGTTCAGGTTCACTTCTGGAGCATGATTTAATTTATTTAACTCTTTTGAGGTTTCTGAAGTTATTTGTAGACTCCAGCTTGCTGCGGCTTATGTTAGGTCTAGAGATACAATATAGCTTCATAGATTGTACATTAAGTACTCAAAGATAGATATAACGAAGAAGTATTCAAAGAATCATAAAAACGAGATATGAACCTGGAGTGTTGGACGTTAATAAAGAGATAAGAACCTAGTGATTTGCTGGTCCACTAATATATTGAAATTGCTCAGAGAAACTAAATGATCAATTAGAGAGAAAAAGGACTTACAAAAAGTAATAATACCAAAGTTATAGTAATTTAAAGATACCATGAAAAATACACATAGAAACAAAAAGAAGAGATAGTAAATACAGTTCATTCAACATTCATAATCTATATGATGCAACTCAAATGATATTCATTACTTACTATATGAAAAAAAACATAATGTATTCGAACAAGTCCACAAGATCCTTTGTTAATCATCAACTTCCATCCAATCCCAATCAGTATCATCAAAGTCATCCTCCTCTTCCGATGTTTCCATAGCTTCATTTTGTAAATGTTGTGCAATGGAAGGAGCATCGATGATATCAACAGGAAGATCTTCTCTAGACCATCTAACATCTACATCAAGTAATCTTTCTGATTAACCAATATCATCATTAGGCTCTCTCCAAAATGTTTCTTCAATATTAGGAAAATTCACTTCCTCCAAATCATACGAATCCACAGGGACTTGTTTCTTGCATAATAAACATTTTTGTCAACTGGGTCTACTATATTAAAAACTTGATGCACTTGAGATGCTAGTACAAAAGGATCATTTGTACTACATTTTTGTTGAAATATACCCGATTCAATCCATATTCATAAACTTCATTATGTAACCAGTCACAATTAAAAAGTACAACACTAAAGCAACCCCAATAATAAATCTCAATGATATCCTGAATAATTCCGTAATAGAAAACCATTCCATCAACAGGATTTTGGTGCACTAGCAAAAATATCCGTTGTGGCTGACAAAGTCACTCCACTATTATGAGTTTTACAAGGGGCATCCCGTGTCTTCGTATGAAATCGATATCCATTAATGAAATATCCAGTATATCTTTTTGCCACAAAGTTAGGCCCTTTCGCTAGCCATTTTAAATGATTGGACACTTCAATACTTTTAACCTTTTCACTAAACCAATCACCAAATTCTTTACTATGGACCTGTGCTTTTACCCATGCATTGCCTCTAGTACGATAATCAGTTAAGCTCTTATGTTCCCTATAAGCATGTAATGTAATTTAATTAATGTGTATTTATAAATGAAATAAAATTTGAAATACATTATCATAACATCTAAATGAATTTAAAAAGAAACGAGTATTTAATCTTACTTGATAAATGCCTCTACTTATTCATCTCCTGTATTGAACAAGGTATATCGAGATGCTTCAAAAAAACTCATGTTGCTCCATGTTAATAATCTTGCCTTTGCTTATATTCTCACTTCCAATTGGACGACCTGTCTTTGGAAATAAATGTGAAACACCACCTTCCTCTGTGTGAATGTACTCATCATCCTCTATTTCACACCTACTTAATTTTGTCTTCACCTTATTAGGTAGGTATATGGAAATAAAGTTCAAACAATCTATAGCTGAAAAACCTTCTACTATTGATCCTTCAAGATTTTTTCGATTACGAACAAGCCCCTTGAAGTCACACATAGTTCTCTTTGCAGAATACATCCAACGCAAATGAGTTGGGCCTCAAAGCTTAATTTCATCTACTAGATGGATAGGTAAATGTGTCATTATATCAAAAAAAGATGGAGGAAAAATCTTTTCAAGCTCACATTCAATATCTATGATTTCTGCTTTCATCTTATCAAGATCGCTTCTTCTTATAACCTTGCTGCATATGGCTCTAAAATAATTCCCCAATCTAATCAAGACCATAGCTACATTCTTGGGTAACACTTTTCTTACTGCAACCTGGTGCAAGTAATGCATTATGAAATGAGCATTGTGACTTTTGTATCCTGATACTTTCATCTCTGCAATTTGCACACGACATGATATATTAGAAGCACACCCTGTTGGTAATTTGGCATCTTTTAAGATAGTGCAAAATAACTTTTTCTCATCTGGTGTCATAGAGAAACAAGCTTTAGCTAGATGGATATTTCCTGTATCACAATCTTTTAGAAGTTAAAGCTCTTTACGTATCCCCATTTCATACAAGTCATAGCGAGAATTTATATGATCTTTGGACTTTACAAGTATATCCAATAAAGTCCCAAGACTACTGTCACAAATATTCTTCTCTATGTGCATCATATCAAGATTGTGCCTCAATTCATTTGTTTCCCAATACGACAACTCAAAAAATATGGATTTTTTTCCATGGACCATCATTCTTTTGTTTTCTTTTCTTTTTGTTCTTTCCAAATACATTATTGAATTCACGAAGCTCTTCAAGAATTTGTGCACCTGATAATGGAGTAGGTGCAACTTTATGCTCCTCTTTACCATTAAATGATCTTTTATCTCTTATGAATGGATGATCGGGAGGTAAAAACGTCTGATGACCCAAGTAAAACATCTTGCGACTATTTTTGAGATATTGGTAACATGTATTATGGTTACAAGTGGGGCATGCCAATCTCCCCTTGGTGCTCCATCCCGAAAGCATTGCTAGAGCTAGAAAATCACTAATTGTCCACAATAAAGCTGCATGCATTAGAAATGTTTGATTAGTTACAGCATCATATATTTCAACTCCCACTTCCCATAGTTCCTTCAACTCCGCAATGAGTGGTTGCAAGTATACATCTATATCATTTTCCGGGGACGATGGACTTGGAATAATCATTGACAACATAATATTCTCCGACTTCATGCAAGTCCATGGAGATAAATTATAGTTCATCAACATAACTGGCCATGTACTATGGGAAATGCTCATAGTTCTGAATGGATTGAAACCATCACTTGAAATACCCAATCTAACATTGCGAGCATTATTAGCAAAGTCAGGATGCAATGAATCAAAATCCTTCCAAGCTTCACCATCTGCGGGATGTCTTAAATTTCCATCTTTAAGTCATTCAGTATCATGCCATCTCATAGCTACAGATGTTTCAGAACACATGAATATCTTTTGAAGCCTAGGCTTTAAAGGAAAGTACCTTAAAACCTTCACTGGGATTCTCGTAACCTTATTATTTAAGTCATTACGAACATTTTTCCATCTTGAAGCTCCACACACAGAGCAATTATCTAACTTTGCATTGTCATTCCAAAATAATATGCAATCATTAGTGCAAGCATGTATTTTCTCATAATGAAGACCCAAATCTTTTATGACCTTTTTTGCCTTGTAAAACGAGTCGGGTATCTGAGCAAATGGAAGTGCCTCTCTTATCAAGTCCAACAAATCTGAACAGGCCACATCAGTCAACTTGTGAATGCATTTAAACAAGTATAGCCGGATGGTAAAACTTAACTTAGAAAAATTCTTACACCCTGGATACAAGTCTTCTTTCCCTTCCTCCACTAATTTATAAAATCTCTTTGCATCTTCATGTGGCCCCTCCCGCACTCCTTCATGTCTCTGATCATCTACTACATTTCTAAAAGTATCATGAAGTAATCTATCAATGTCGTCATGCATGTTAGAAGTTTCTTCTTCATCGGTTGGATGTGGCGTATTTCTTGAGGAAAATCCTTCACCATGAAAAACCCATTTAGTGTATCCCTGAACAAATCCATGGCAAATCAAATGATCCTCTACCATATTTCGGCAATGCTAATTATGATTAAAGCACTTCTTACAAGGACACAATATTTCATTTCCTTGGGAAGCTCGTTCAAATGCTTTATCAAGAAAATCATTAACTCCATGAATATATTCATTGGTGGATCTTCGAAGATTCATCAAACTTTTATCTCCGAAATCCATTGAATATATATCCTGCATGACATGTACATAACATTAAAGCCAATAATTTCATGCGTACAAATAATATTGGCAGAACTTAACAACTCGAACTTTTAGATTAATCGTATCTCAAACCTTCACATCAATTCAACAACAAAACAATTACAACACTAATAGTAGAACCAAAAAATATTGACAAGTTAAGTTATTAGAAGCTTCCACCATTTAATAAACTTTATACAAATGAATGACTAAAGGCACACTCAAACAAATCTCAAAGCAATAAGGGAAGACCTAGATTAGCGTAAGTAACATACAGTATAGCAACAGGCTGCATCAAGCAAACAAAATAATTATCAATACATTAGTATTAGTTTTGATTCTAGCAAAACAATACATGTTTTCATAAAATAGTAATAGAGTTGATTGTTCACATGGAAAAAGTAGTTCGGACAAACTGTAACAACTCATATTCTCTTTCTAAAATAACACAAGGGAGTTAGCTGGTCAATCTAACAATTACCATATAGAAGAAATTTTTTATTACTTTCAATTTCTTACCAATCAGCCTTCTCGAGTTCCAAACGAACTACTTCAAAAATCCTAAAGTGTTACCTCTGTTTCTTTTTAGCCAAGCCTATAAAAAAACATAATCACACAATATATATTAGTAGGAAACCAAGACAAAGAGAGGAAATAATATATGAGATATATACAGTTTCCTATTCCACAAAAAGAAGAATCAACATACTATCACAAGTGGTATTGAGAAAGGGGAAAGAATTCAGTATCATTGTCAAGATTGATCGTAAATTCAAAGATATTGAGACAAACATGAATGTGATACCTATGGAGATAAATGAGGTATTTAAAAACTTCCAACAGATCAAACCAAGGTTAATATACTGATTTAAAAAACAGAGAAGCAAGAGGATGAAGAAACTAAGTGATGATAAAAAAAATGAAAGAAATATGTGCAGACATATCTCATGTTGAAGAAGATAGTGCAGCAGTTGAAACTTACATTGAAAGCCCACAAAAAACAAATAAATACAAGAGGACTAAGAAAATTAAGGAAGTCGTTGCAGATGAAAATCCACAAAAAGTTAGGATACATGAGGTAGAAAAGCAGAATGTACTAGATGAAAGTGACGATGAAAACCCACTAATTCAATTACAAAGAAAAAAGACCAGGAAGATTAAAGGAAACAATCTCATGCCATATCCGATGGAAAAGAAGATCAAAGAGGAAAAAAACTAATATATAGTTGATTTAAAATTTCCTTATTTTAACTAACAATGCTTATTATCTCCCTAATATTTAAAATCTAATTTCCTTTCCTCACCGAGCAACTTCACCTAACATCGCTTATATTTTTAACTTACTTTCTCCAATATAAATGAATTTGATTAACTGCTTCACTAAACATTCAGTGTATGCAATTTATTACATCAAAGCAGATCGACAATAATATTCTGCAGCAATCCACACCCTCATAAAATAAAAAGGTATGCATACATCCTACTCTATATGAATTTCTTAACTATATAGGGTAGGATATATATATATATATATATCACGGCAAAATTGGATATGATTGATAAAACGAGATAAGAGAAGTGTCACACCAACAATCCTAAATTTATCACCATCAAATCAACAATGACATACAATCAACATCATGGTAAATCTAGTATGTTAAGTAGTTATCATAGTTCAAAATTAAATATAAACCCTTCTATTCAATTCACTGCACAGGTGATAAAGGTAACTTCATTGCTTCTAAATGTAATGTGGATCAGCAGCCCAGAACAATTATAAATCAGACACACAATACATGTCAGATCTCAGACAAAATCCCAACAAATGCCACCAATCCTTTCACGCCAAAACCAACAGGTGATAAAGGAAAAGGCATTCCTTCTACCAGTAAAACTTATCAGCATGACAACCACACAAAAAATAATTTGCGCAATACAAGTAAGAACATACATAATCATGTAAAATCCAACATACATGAGTGTTCTGTACAACGCGAACATATTTTCATAGATACATGCATAAGTATTACATCCTTTGTCTAAATGTACCAAAAAATATTTCTAGAGAAAAGTCAACTGCGAAGCGCATTGCGAAAAGTGGATAAATATATAAAATATCAACCAAAACAATAGCACATCTAGAAGATGAACATCCACGTTTGAAGAAGCATCCTAATATTAATTAGCTATTTAGAGCATAACCTGAAGAGTCTGAAGCTAGAGGTACATTGGAAAACCCCTTTTCATGTCATACATAAATTGAATATTCAATAACTTTATGAAATTAGATTCTTAACATATATCTCTTCCAATATTCATATAGATAGGAATTGTTGTTTATAACTTATCTTTATCATATCTGCACGTGCTGAAAACTGTCTCAGAATGCATTTATGTGCTGCAAAAATATTTGACCATGAACCTCCAGCATTTTGTTGTGCAAATAGATATATCAAATTTTCAACCTCTAAAGCACCAACAAAACTATACGAAATCTTTGTAGCATCTACTCCGGATGTCGTAGAGTTTTTGAAAAATATTCGTGCATATAATAACATCTTTATTTTTACATCTTTTAGTGTTAAATTGGATAGGAACTAGCATGTGCAAGAAAAGGAGTGTACACATTTAGGGCACATGGTAATATTTATCACGATCTACCATCATTAGTACCACCTGATAACAATCCATGTTATTTCCAACTATACTTCTTTGATACAGATAACGAGTCGACCATCAGGCTATCAAAGGTGAATGAAGGAATTCTTTCGGACCAAATTGCAAAAAAGTTCAACCAAGTATTGGAGGGTAACCCATATGCACAAATATTTCGCCCATTAAAAGACCAAATAAGTTTCCACAATTTCCAACTTCGTATTTCTACACATGCATCTTTGCATGAAAGAGTGTACGACACACCCTCGGCAAGTCAAGTAGTAGCAATTTGGATCAATGGAAACAATCCAATTACACCTTTTTACGGAGAAATAATTGTTCATGAGCACTCTGGATACAAACATAGAGTAAAACATTATTTTGGTTATTATGACCCTCTTTAATATCCTTTGCTATTCCCAAGAGGTGAAGGTGGATGACATCTAGAAATAAGAAAACACAGCAAAAGACTATCTCACAGAAGAAGTGCTCAATCCCCATCTATAACCGATGAGTTTCAAACATTCATATTAGTTGATTCAATACTAGACAACGAGGATCAAGGTAAAATATATCATCTTATGCCCTCTTATAGAAAAAATTAAGCCATGCTCTTCACAAGTTAGCAACTGATAAAGAAACACATACACGATATAAACTAATACTACAAAAGATGTATAAAATACAATTTTAAGATAATTCACTTTTCCATTATACCAATATGGTAACTAACATAAAATAAAAATAATATTAACATGATTTCTTATACTTGTAAATGTTTGCCGCGAGACAAAGGGAAATGTTTCTTCCAAAGAATACTATTGTTATAAGCTACAAGTACGAGAAACAAAGAGGTAAGCATTACTACTATATGGAAGATTACTACAACAATTTGTGGTTGACATGTGCATAAAATTGGAAACAATGAGGCTAGAATATTTCAGAAAAGAAAAATCAAATTTTAGAAGAGAGGTTTATCAAGGTATTGTTGATAGTGTAAGCGCAGGAGAATGCAGGGGAGATAAAATTGGGCAGAGAATACTACTTCCATTATTTTTTATTGGAGGGCACAAGATATGAAAAAATTCTATATGGATGCGATGACTTTGGTACACATTTTGGAAGGCAAGATTTTTTTATAACAATGACGTGTAATCCTGACCGGATTGAAATCCAACAAGAATTGCGCCCCAGACAGACTCCTTAAGATAGACCTCACTATGTTAATAGAGTATTCAGAGCTAAGTTGCAAGATCTTAAAGACCAAATTTTCAAGAAAAAAAATTTGTAATTGTTGTTGCTCATGTATTCGTGGGAGAATTCCAAAAACGGTGACTACCACACATACACCTACTTCTCATATTAAAAGAAGGGCACAAGATCAAATCAGGAGATAAATATGATAGGTTTATCTCAGAGATTGCAGATAAATATGAGTATCCTATCTTTCATAAATTAGTGCTCAGGCATATGATGCATGGTCCGTGTAAAAACAAACGTTCGACAAACACATGCACGCAAAATGGACAATGTCAATATCATTATCAAAGGGCTTATAACAACAAATTAGTCCAAGAAAAGGATGGATATCCAATTTATAAAAGAAGAATGGATGAAAGAGTAGAGACTGTTCGTTGAATGAATATGATAAATCAATGGGTGGTACCTTATAGCCCTTATTTGCTTACTAGATACAAGTGTCACATTAATGTTGAGATCTGCTCAGGAGTCAAAGAAATAAAATATCTATACAAGTATATATATAAAGGTCATGATCGATGTAAAGTTTATGTTCAGTCTGATGATGGTAAAAATGTTATTGACGAAATAAAAACATTCCAAGATGCGCGATGGGTCTCACCACCTAAAGCACTATGGAGAATATATGAATTCAACTTTACTGAAATGCAACCTGCAGTCATCAACCTTCAACTACATCTACCAGGAAAACATTCAGGTACACATATTTATGCATAACAATACACACTTTATTTTAAGAATAACTATAGTAGTCAAAATACAAATACTAACTCAAAACAAGCATACGATTTTTACAAGAAAAACCAAAATTTAAAAAATGTCATTTCCTAGGATGGTGTCAAGCAGACAATGTTGACCGAGTATTTCAAGATATGCTCAATTGACACTGAAGCACAAGC